GGGGGGGGAGCAGGGGGGGAAGACAGGTCGGAAGCCAGAGGGACGAGGAGGAGGAGGAGGAGGAGGAGGAGGAGGAGGAGGAGGAGGAGGAGGAGGTGGAGGGAAGCTGTGGAAGCTGTGCGACACGACAACGTAGGTCGTCCCTGAAGGGCGCACCTTGGCGAAGAGGTGCGCTGGGACAGGAAAGGGCTTGACGCTGGCCGACTCGAGGCCAACTTCCTCGAGGTGGTGTGTGTTTCCGGTGGTGCTGGGGTGAACGAAACACCCGCCTCTGGAGGCACTTCCTGATACTGCGGACCCCGCTGCGCCGACCCTAATACGACGGGCCAGCTACGCGAACCCAGGAGGGCAAGGAGGAGGAGGAGGAAGACATGTACTTACACGATCGACCGCCGCCCAGGATTTGCACATGACGAGACGAACCAGCTGATACCACATGGCGGCTGACAAGCATCCCAAGTCCGCTAACGCTACGTACTACTTCGAGACGACAAGCGACGTCGACTTCATCGAGATCCAGATACGTACAACGGACAAGCTGGACGTAAGCCTTTTCAAGTACCAGCTACACATGAAGCTGTTCAAATACAAGTACGACTACGAACCCAAGTCCGCCGACCCTGTACCCTGTCGGCGTGTGTGAGGGGCTTCTCCGTTCGAGCCGTCGTCGCCGTCATTCGTTCATCGTCGTCTCTGTTGTCGTCTTTCCCTGCACTTCCCTTTCCCTGTGCCCGTCGCCGCTCCTCTTTCCTTTCCTTGGCTCTCCTCCTCAAGCGCCTCAGCCAAAGCGAAGTTGAGCAACGTCGTCATGCACTCGAAGGGAAGCCCCTTCCCTTTGATCCCTCCCCCGCCCGTGGGGGGGGAGGGAGTGCCTGGCCCGGACCCGGGCCTGGGTCAGATACGCTTCCCCTCCGAGGGCTCCTGGACCGGAGAAAAGCTCCAGGACTGGCCGAAGGTGCCCCAGAAGCCCACGAAAGCAGTCCACGAGGGCCCCGAATCGCCGAACGAGTTGTCCAAGACGCCTGGACGGCCTCCAGACGGCCCAAGAATCCTGCGAGACGCTCAAAGAAGCCTGCACTGGCAGTCCCAACGCTTGCATACGTGTTGCATCATTTCGGCGTTCTCGCCTCTCCCCCTTCCCGACGCTCCAAGCTGGTCCAGGCGGCCTCCCAGATCGTCCCCAGACAGCCCCAGAGGGTTCCACGAGCGACCCAAAACGGCCCAAGAGAGCCCCAAGACGGCCCAAGACGCTTCCAAAAGGGCCCCAGAGGCCCCCAAGACGGCTTCAGGATGGTGCCGAGACGACGGACCAAAACGAACTTGTCGAGCCCCCCGCCCCGGGTGCTCCCAGGAGAAACCATGAGGCCCCCAAAAAGCCCGCAAGAAGCTCCGAAGAGACCCCAAGATGCTCCCGAGAGGCCCCCGGGAAGCCCCAGCAGGCCCCCAAAAGGCTCCCAAGAGACCCCATACACCATCCCCCGAGGCCCGAGGCCCCCTGTACACAGTAAAGTGGTTGCCGCGCTGCCCTTTGTCCTGGTGGCGACACACCACCCCCTATCCTGTTAGATGGCAAGTCAATGGCGACTCCTCGGCCATCCAGCTCCTCATCCCTCCTCCTCCTCCTTCTCCTCCTCCTCCTCCTCCTCCTTCTCCTAGTTGTCTTCCCTCCTCCCTCATACTCCCCTTCCCCTTCACCTCCTCTGTTCCCCTCTCCTCCTCCCTCCAATTCCTGCTGCTCCTCCCAGTACTCTTCCCCCCTTAATTATGTTTCCCTTCACCTCCTCCCTCCCGTTTCCTTCTTCCTCCTCCTCCTCCTCCTCCTCCTCCTCCTCATCATCATCAGCAGCAGCAGCAGCAGCATCATCAGCATCAGCATGAGCGTCAGCATCAGCGTCAGCATCAGCGTCAGCGTTAGCGTCAGCATCATCATAATCATCATCATCAGCAGCAGCAGCAGCATAATGATCATCAGCAGCAGCATCATCGTCATCATCAGCATCATCATCAGCAGCATCATCAGCATCATAAGCGTCATCAGCATCTTCATCATCATCATCAGCAGCAGCAGCAGCATCATCAGAATCATCAGCATCAGCATCATCAGCAGCATCATCATCATCCCCCTCCCTCCTCCTTTGTCTCCATATTCCTCGTCACCCAGTTCGTTGGAGGTCTGGGGAAGAGGAGGAGCAGGAGAAGCAAAAGACAAAAGACAGTCGGTCCTCCTCCTCCTCCTCCTCCTCCTCCTCCGCCTCCTCTTCCTCCCCCCTCCCGAAGAGCATCAGGACGAATTTGATTCAATTGTTCGATAGTTTTCCGTGTCCTCGCCTCTTCGAGCTTCCGACGCTCCAAAACGGCCCAGAAGCCGCAAAAATCGCCCCAAGACGACCCAAGAGCCTGCCGGAAGCACTCCAAAACAGCCCAAGACGGCCCCAAGGCGGCCCCAGACGGCCCCAAAGACGGCCCGAGACGGCCACAAGAGGCTCCTGAGAGAGAATCCACCAACTGACGTTGCCAGCCTTCCGCCCCAAGAGGCCCCCAGGAGGCCCCAAGAGGCGTCCCAGACGCCACCAAGAGGCCCCCCAGAGGCCCAAGAGAGACCCAGGAGCACTCCCAAGAGAACCCCAAGAGAGCAAAATCAAAGATTTTGCTTAGCTTTGTGAATATGTTCATCGTCGCTGTCTTCGTCGTCGTCTTCCTTCAGGGTCGGCGGCTCTGGCCGTAAGGCCCTCGCAATACTTGAACCAGGCAGTCATCTACAACTACTGAATGCATTCGGGCATCATCGGTACTACGGCCAACGTGCACTACACGCCGTATAAGCCCCACAAAATAAACGAGGTCCACTACTACATCCACATCCGCAACATGGTCGGCAAGTACATCGACGAGTACGAAGGAAAGGGCAACAACAACATCGACGGTTTCGACCTCATCCACTTCATGGACACGAGCATCGAGGACCACACCTTCCTTCATGGCAAGTACGTCGAAGGCAAGGATGTTAAGTGCGACCACGTGACGTCATACCCGTCCGACGTCGACACCAAGGCCGAGGAAAACAACCATTGGGGCGACGCCGTCGGAAACTACACGCACGACGCCACGGACGATGAGGAGCAGGATCGCGGGCACTCAGCCGCTGGGTCGTACAAGCGCCAGCGTGCAGAGTAGAATACCTTGGGATCTACTACAAGTCCAGCCCTACCCGGGCGTATACCCAGCTCCAGCTCTACTCATCATCATCATCAGCAGCAGCATCATGATCATGATCATGATCATCATCATCATCATCATCATCATCATCATCATCATCAGCATCATCATCATCATCATCAGCAGCATCATCATCATCATCACCCTCTCCTTACCCCATCCATCCCACCAGGCATCATGTAGTACTTGGTTTGCTACCTGTACGTGAACTGGATACCACAGGACAGCTGTCGCAAGCTACTGCAAATACCGTATACTCGGTTACCACTTGTACGCGTGCTGGATACCACAGGACAACGATGTGGACACCCGTCGCTACTGTATAATACCCACCAACCAGCCTACGCACTGCCATTGTTCATACCGCTGCAAACCCTTACAAATCATCGGCTCAAAGTTGCCACGTACATACCAGAACGATCATGTCTGGTACGAAGTACAAACGCATCGATGGTACACCTTGGGTACTTGCTAGGGCTGACTCTAAACGGTGCTTTTAGTTTTCGCTTTGTTTACGGTTTCCCTCGCGTTTGTCTCGAATCCGCCTGTAAGGCAAAACGAAGTCGAAACGAGAACGGCCCACGAAGTCACCAAACATACCGTTTAGGTCCAGCCCTGGTACTTGCTGAGGCAGGTATATGACTCCGAGACCCCCCATATCATAACAAAACGGTACAACTTGGTGAGAAGATTACTATTGCAGAACACGGGAGGCAATCATTCACGATCCGCAACAGCAAGGCGGCCCTGCGGCACTACGTCAAGGACCTGCACAGCAAACGGATCAATTTCTACAAGGCCCAATGGTCGGAAGAGGCCTTCGAAGTTACCATCAACGACCGCGTTGAAGGACCGCATGACGGGCAAGAGCCACCACAGCCACTACTTGATAATTACAGGCATGATCCCAAAACAATACAGCCATACGACTCAACAGTAAAGTTCAGCTACTATTTGCTATGGGACCCCGATAAGGAGGACTACGCCACCCTCGAGGTCGACAAAGGCACCCCTACTATCGGACAGCTTCAAAAGACAGTCGCTGTCAAGCTAAATGGGCAACAGTACGATGTGAAACCAGACCAGCACACGCGCAGGAAGATATACCACATGAACTCCAACTTCGACGAGATGGCTTTGGACAACAGTACGAGACTCCACTACCAGCCCACGATCACAGGGGTAGCAACTACTACGTGGACGCGCTGAACTCCCACAACAACATGATTACTCAGGATTTCGTCATCAATCATGGCCTACCATCCCCGTCAGGGAACCACAACAAGCGTACACGACATGTCCACTACGGACATCACAAGCATGCACGTGGTGAAGCCGATGATGAGGATTGCGAAAGGTTCCTACTTCTAGAACAATCGGCACTTCGAAACTGACTCAGGCTGCCGAATGCCCGCAGAACTGTACGTCTTCAGCGCTGCGGACAAGGTACGAATTGCACTACGCTGCGCAAAGGGTACGCCGTCTTCGGCACCGCCTGCACCAACTGCTGAGTGGCCCCGCCGCTCTCCCTATCCTCCCCTTCCCTCCCTCTGCGTTGGCCTCAGGATACAGGATGGTTAGTGGCATCCCTTCCTCCCTCCCCCCCTCTGAGACGTAAGCTGGGTCCCCTGGAGGTCCGGGGGGGCTCCCGCACCGACGGCCTGGGGCGCGCGGCCAGGCGCGCGGGGATCTCGCGCGGACCTGGGGACAGCAGAGGCTGCTGCTGCGGGAGAGAAAAAGAAAGAGAGGAGGAGCCCAGCGTACAGAGGGAAGGAGTCTCCCGCCTAAGCCCACGAAGCCGAAGAATTTGCCGCGGGCGGCAGGGGCGGGGGCGCGCAGGGCGCGCCTGAGTTGCGCAGCACGTCGAACTCGACGTCGGGCGCAGCCGCATTTATATTCGGAGGCGACGAACGAGCGATGGGAGGAGGGGGAGCCGAACAGATCAGAGCGACGGACAGAGGGCGAGGAGCAGACCAGGAGCACGGGGCAGATGATTTTGCCGCAGGCTCACGGTCACGTGATGACGGTGGGCAAGGCCTCGAAGATGGAGTCGGAGCCGTCGCCAAAGGACCGCTCGAGACCGAGGTAGCACAGGCAGCCGCTCTCAGCGACGGACAAGGCCTCGGAGGAGAAGACGGAGCCGCTGTCAACGGAGCCCTCGCGACCAATGACCCACTGGAAGCCGCCAACTGCGACGAGCAAGGCCTCGAAGAAAAGGACGGAGCCGCTATCAAAGGTCCACGCGTAGTCAATGATCCACTGGAAGCCGCAATCTGCGAAGCACAGGGAGTGCCAGCTGTGCCCACATCCACGCCCACGTGGCTCCCAGACGCCGTTTCGAGCACATCAGTAGCAAAACGGTGCGGCGACATGGAACGCCCGCTCCACATAGGAGACGGACGATTTGGGTCCTGACCAACATCACAGGCATCGGAGTCCGACGGGATCGTAGCAATGGCTGTGGAGACGGTGTCCGAGTCGCTGTCCGAGGAAGATACCGCCGGCGTAAGTCGGGGTGACGACACCGAAGAGGAAGACGAAGAAGAGCTGCGAATGAGGTAGTCCCGTCGGCCAAGTTGCTCGCGGTCGATCTCCGAGCACTTCAGCGGCGACGCGAGCTGCATCGCACGAACACCAGCGAGAGCGCAGCTACGCAGCAAGCTCGGGGACAGCGGCCACACGGGCGCCAGCCTCGCTTCGTTGTACATGTGGTACGCGGCAGCCATCGCAGAGTAGGTGGCCAGCGAAGGTGCAGATAAACCCCATCTGTCCATCCACGGCAACGGTATCGGTCTCGCTAGTGCTTGCCGCAGGGCACGGTGCATGACAGGGCACCTCGCGTAGTGCCTCAGCGAGTCGAGCTTGCCCAAACATCCGAATACGCAGGGCTTCTGGCCGTCGGGTGATATGATTCGGGCCGAGGTCATCCAACCATCAGACCACGTGCGCAGGACGGCCATAGCCCATGAGCACGGGCAGCGGGCGAGGACGCTCTTGCACTCGTCCCAGTCGATGTTCGAAAGGAGGCCCGCAGATCTGCCAGCGAACTTCCTCAGGCGGGCCAAGAAGAGGTCGGTGATGGGCCTGTTCAGCATCGCGTAGGCCCGCAGCGCATCGCGAGCAGCTCTCTGAGGGCGAGGTCGAGGACGGTCGCCCGCTCGAAGTTCAGCCAGCGCGGCGTCAGCAGCACGTGCACCAAAGGCGGCCAACGGGCCAGGCGGAGGGGTGCCAGCTGCGGCCAGAGCCAGATTCTCCACGAAGGCGGGGGCCAACCAGAAGGACGGGTACGGCTTGCCAGTCGCCAGCATGGACAAGGTGGCGTCGGTCGGGGCGGAGCGCACGTGGTTCCGCATCTGTTGGAGGAGCACGTCCCAGCTCGGGAAAGTGCGCACAGCAGCACGCGTGATGGTGGCGACGGCCAGGTGCCCCCACCGCGTGCAGCGCGGGCCGCCCCACTGCGCGATCTGCGTCCAGAAGTCGAGAGCGAAGGTGCCAAACGGGATGCGGAACACCTGTGCGAGCGTCGCCAGCTCAGGTTGTAGCACTGCTGTCGGCGGCCAGCAAAATTGGGCCACGTAGGATATGGTCGTAACGGCACGTGTATTGTATAGTGTAGCGGAAAGGCTGGCGGGAGTGGTTCCCCGTCCTATGGCTTGGGCCCTCAGACGCAATTTGGCGACGGGATCGATCCAGCAAGTAGACGGAACGACAGCGGGACCTAGCCAGAGGCCCAGGTAGAGCAACTTCGGAGCCACCTCGAACGAGCTCCACTCGGGGACCACACGGGAGACCCAGTAGGAGACTGTGGCCGAGAGCTCGGGCGAGAACCTGTCAGACAACGGGACAATCTTGCATTTCGAGACCTTCAGGGCGAGGTTGGCCAAGTCCGAGGCCATCTGCATAACACGATACACATGTACTAGGTGCCGTATGGCCAATAAAGTGCCCCCAATGTCATCAGCACAGGCCCGAACCAGGCCAAGACCAGCGGCCTCAACACGGGAAGCCAGGTCAATCAAGAAGACAGCCGTACCTAACGCATACAGAGTGCCCGATAAGGCACAACCCTGGATGATGCCGCTCTGGATCCAGAAGATGTGAACTAGCGTGCCTAGGTGCGAGACGACCCCTTCCACCGACGCATAGAGGAACGTGACGAAGGACACGAAGGCATCAGGCAGCTTGAGGGCCCTAAGGGAGAGGATGAGGAAGTCCTGATTCAGAGACGGGAAGGCTTGGCCGAAGTCCAGGGAGAACAATAAAGGTATATCAGCAGAACCGTGAGGGACGACCGACATCTGGCGACTCGAAACGTCGAGCTCGAGGATGTTGTTGCCGAAATTCCTACCGGGTATAAATCCACGCTGGCACGGCGGGGCGAGGGCCTCCAAGGCAGGACGGATCGCACGGTTGACGGTGGAGGAGATGAGCTTCAGGTCACAGTTCCTAAGGCCCAAGACTCTAACCTTGTCGGGGGAGCGAGAGCAGCTGCCATCGCGGAGCTCCAAGTCCGTGACATTTTTGGGCAGAAAAATCTGGATCGCGTCGCCAGTGTTCGCAAAGAGTTCTTGGCCACTGAGCACCCAACCAAGGGCGCCCCACAAGATGTCGGCACCCCACAAAGACACAGCCCACGCAGCGCATGGCAGAGCATCAGGACCAGGAGCAGAGTGCTGGGCAGACCGCATTGCTCGACGTAGCATATTTTTCGACGGCGGCGGCGGGTGTACATCGGCAGGAAGGTCAGGGGCGAGGCGACGAAGGTAGGGAGCAGCAGCAGCAGCGCCCCACGGCTTTTTCTGGAAGACAGGGGCCCAGTGTTCCGTGAGCACTCGCAGGCGGTCCGAGGGCTCACTGACCGTAGAGCCATCTGGCGCGAGAACAGCTGAGAGAGAGATCCTGCGATTGAGAGGGGACCACAGACGAGCGCGCCGCTCTAGAGCACGAACCTGGGCACGAACCTGGACGCGGTCACCTTCACGCCGTCTGCGCTCTTCAAGTTCTGTCTTCGCGGTCTCGGCAGCCTCAGTCTGGACCTGGTCGACCCAGGCCTGGAAGGACTGCGGGTGGCGGAGCTCGACCTTCCCGTTGGCAATCGAGATCATGTCAATGGCCAGGGGATGGGAGTCCTGGAGCCTGGAAGCCATACGCAGGTCTTGCCTCCAGACAACTCGGGCCAGAGCACGAGCAAGCAGCAGGCAGGTGCGCGGGTGGTGCGGCCTGTCCCGAAAGAGGGTGTCCCTGGTCTCCGCGGCCGAAATCTTCAAAAGCTCCTTGTACTTTTCTAACTTGATCGGGGGCGACATGGAGTCCCACGGGACATCAGAACACAGCCCTTCCAGACGCCTCTTGAAACCTGGCTCCGAGAACACGCGTTTGGGCATGGGGCGAGACTCCACAGGTCGAGGTGGGCGGCAGGCAAGCGAGACAACAACAGCAGCATGGTCAGAGAGCTTTTTGTCGAAGACCGCCGCCGGTGTGTCGAGCGCGCCGATCTGGACATACAGCTGGCAGATCTGCCAGCCCGTGAGCGAGCAGAAGACGCGGTCGATCGTCGCGCACGAGTCGTTGAACTTCTCGTAGTGCGCAGGGTCCTCGCACGCAATCTCGGTCAGGAGGGCGAGAGCCTGGCGCCACTTGGGAGCCTGCACGTGGTGGCACTTCGACTGCTTGCGCACTGCCGCCGAAGGGGCAGCGAGCGCCAGAGCCTCATGCGTGGCAAAATTGAAGTCCCCGAGGACAAAGGTGGTGTACATGTCGGGGTCGTCAGCAGCCGCGCGCTGCGATGCTCGCATCGCGGCAGCCACTTCACGAACTTGCTGGGCGGACAGATCATGATTGTGAACGTTGAAGATGTCGAGCGTGCGGCAGTCATCCCGTACACGGACTAGCATCGCTCGGCCTGGCACCAAGACAGTTGAGGATGTCGTCGGCAAGGTGGGCCCTTGACGAGCCAGCGGCGGAAGAACCACAGCGACTCCACCACGCCGATGCCCGTCATCCGCGTCTGTGATGAAGCTGGAGTGGATCGCGAGGCCCGACGCGATCGAGTTGAAGAACGAGACGAGCTGGAAGTGGTCCTGGTGCACCTCCTCAAGCGCGATGACCGTGGAGAGGGGACGTAGACGGAGAACGTACCTCCTCTTCAGAATGGCCTTGTCCCCGCCAGCCTGTAGAAGTGCACGAGAGTTCCAGGTAGCTATCCGAAACGGTGACGCCGCGGACCCAGGCGGCGGCCCTGGAAGTTGAAATAGCCCAGCAGCGCTAAAGGCACCACTGGCTAGGGTCGGTCGGGTGCGTGAGCTCCTTGACCGCATTGCGGAGGGTGTCGATGGACATGGCATGCTTGGCGAGCTGCGTCGAGTCCCAGTAGATCTTGGGCGGGGTGTCGCCGTGGAAGACGTCGACGTGCATGATCTTGTCCCAGCCGATCGAGAGGACGCCGTGCTCGCGGTCGGAGTAGAAGCGCTTGCCAGGGTACTGCAGCTCCACAATCGCTCTGGCCTTGCGTAGAGTGACCTCGGTCTTGATACGTTTGGGCGACTTGTCGGGGCCCAGGTGCAAACGGCAGCGCTCGGCACCAGGGGGGTCGACCCAGAACTCCTTCCAGCCGTCGGCGCCCTTGAGGAGCGACGTGGCCTTGTTGGCGCGGCGCGACGCAATGGTGGTCGAGCCCGTGAAGCAAATCTCGAACCTCCTGGCAGGAGACTCGCCTTTCTGCTTGATCTCGCACTGTTCGTCCTCAAAGCCAATCTCGCCGAGCCACGGGCGCAGCGAAGAGACCACTGAGGCCAAGGTAGTAGGGCGCTGTGACACAGCAACAACAATCGTGGTGTCCTCCTCGCGGTCGAAGGACGTGGGAGCAGCGAGCTGCTTCCTGGGAGTCTGCTCGGCGATGGCCATCTGGCGACGGAGTTCGGCAAGCTGGTCTTGAAGATCATGAATGGACTTGTCGTGGGCGTCAGCACGGCCCTCAAGCGCGGAGAGGCTGCGCTTCTGCTCGTCGAGCTGAGCCTGCAGGCGCCTGTTGAGGGAGTCGAGCCTGGGCGCGATCGCCGTCTGGACCTGGCCCTCGATGGCGCTGGACTGCTTGGCCACCTCGCTCTGCATGGAGGACAGCATCTTAAGTAACGTGTTGTGGTTGGACGTGACGGTCTTGGCGACAGACTCGGACACCTCGGTGGTGATGGTGTCCCGCATGGTGGCGAATTCCTCTCTGCACAATTGCCGAAGAAAGTCACCATCGTCTTCATCATCATCCAGAAGAGAAGCAACAGGAGCATCGCCGTCGGCCGACGCGAGGGCTTGCCGCTTGCGCTGCACGAAACGGCCCGCACCCTTGCCCTTGCCAGTGCGCTCGCTGTCGGGGAAGGTGGCCACGGATTCGAACTCGGCAAGAATCTGGCGCTCCTGGGTACTGGCAGGCCCAGCTGGGACCGCATCTGCCATCAGAAGCACAGAAAACGAAAGTGTCCGCCAGCCTTTGACAGCTGGATGGCCCTGGAAGAAGGGCTGCCTCACTCAAAACGGGCCTGTCCCGATCTTGAGCCAAAATGGCAACGGAAAGAAAGAGAGGAGGAGGAGGAGGAGGAGGCGGCGGAGGAGGAGGATGAGGGGGAGGAGGGAGGAGGGAGGAGGGAGGAGGGAGGAGGGAGGAGGGAGGAGGAGGGAGGAAGAGGGAGGAGGAGGAGGATGGATGAGGAGGAAGGAAGAAAAGGAGGATGAATGAGGAGGGGCGTCGAGGCGCAGGGCGAGGGAGGCGCGTGGAGGGGCCCCGGCGCCCCTGCTGAGGAGGGGCCCCCCGGGTCTCCCTGGACGGAGGAGCGAGGAGGAGGGGGTCTCTCCTGAGCCCCCCGTGGATCACTGAAGCCTTGGCACTGCGCAAGATTCACACTGGGCGTTTTCGCCCCGGCTCGGGCCCTGGAAATCCGAGAAATCCGCGCGGACCTCCGAGTTTGTATATTCATGCCACTTTTTGTTCCCCTCACCCTGATCCTCGAGCCTCGGCCATCGACCCCCGACCATTCGGCACCGACGACGGCGACGGCGACGCGCCGGCGACCCAGACATCCGACGGTGTACGGCTCCTGCGCTGCGCGGCCCCCAGCTCCCGACGCCCTCCCCGGCTTCTCGCCCCGGATCCATTGCTGGTGGCCCCGGGGCCCGACAACGGGCCCCGGTCAGGCCGAAAGTGGGGGGAGGAAGGGCAAGAAGAGGCCGGTGCCGCTACGCCACGGCCCTCTCCTGGGGTGGTGTCTGGCCGGGACTTCGAGGCCAGTCCAGCCGTGGCGACGAGGGGAGCGCAGCGGCATCGGTACGTTTGACGAACGAACATCACACACACACACACACACACACACCCGTACCCATAGGAGGGTCGGAGGGAGGAGGACTGGCTATGGGTATGGGTGCGGGTTGTGGGTGGGTATGGGTGCGGGTTGTTGGACCCTGGGGCCCGTTCGAACGGGGACCCCCATCCGACAACACGCACCCACAGCCCCCTCCGCCCCCCCTATGGGGATGGGTGCGTCTTGTTCGTTCGTCAACCTCCTTCTCCGCCGAGAAAGCCCCCCCCCAAGAGAACGTCCAGACAGAGAGGATCATATCGCCAAAGATTCGGGGATGCCGACGGCCCCGACGGATGCGGCGGCGGCGCCGGCGGCCGCGGCGACGAGGGGCCAGGGAGGGCTGGGCGCACCGCGCGGAGGGGGGCCGGGGAGGGGGGCGGAGCAAGAGCAGTGCAAGCGGCACGCCGCCGTGGGGAATATACAGCCGCGGAGTGCGCCACCGTGCCGCGAGGCGCGCGCTGGAATGCCGCTGCGCGGCAGGAGGCGAGAGGTGCAGCTTGACCCAGGCCAGAAGAGCATCCTTCAAGACCGTGAGACCCTCCGCCGGCCAGCACGAACAGAGCATCCAAGGGTAATTACCCTGCCCAGGATGCACAAGAACATCCAACAGGCACGAAGAACACCAGAGTACCCTCCCCGAACCGACCTCGATCTTATACCTCGGTCCGACTGTGGGCGTCTGGGCGGTCTTCCCCCGTATCATCAAAATGGAACTGGACTGATGTGTCACAGACCCACGAAGACCGCGGCCGACGAGTCGCGCACCGATGTGGGAACAACCGACGTCCTCATGGGGAGCTGGAGTGCACTCTCAAGTCCCTTTGTAGTCCTCAGCCCTGTCCCCCGGAGTGAGTAGTAAGGGGCCCGGACACAAAATTCTCGAATTTCACGGGGTTCCCGGCGTGCACCCCGCGGTACCCTGGCGCTTCCTGCAAGGCCTTTTCGATATCACGAGCGCCCCACCACTCGCCAAGACACGGTGGCGGGCCCGAATGGCTTTTCGGAACCCCAAGCGCCCCGCCACGGACCAAGACACGGTGGTGGGCCGAAGGCCAATTCACATTGCTCAAGGAACACCAGAGGAACAGAACTTAGGCAGGAAGACATAGAGACCCAACGCCCCGGCTCACGCGGGCCGCCAGCGTGGCACACCGCGTGGAGACGAGGGCGCTTACGCGCGACCTTACGCGGGCAGCTTACGCACGAACGTCGACCCCGTTTTCTTCCGTCGCCCACCAGGCCTGCGGACAAAATGCGAAGGAGCGGGGCTCGCAACCGCCTCGCGCGCGTGAGGCGGGCCGACGCGCGAACAGCTCTCCAGTTCACGGCGCCGGCGCCCCTCGGACGCAGACGAGCCCGAAACCTCGTCCAGCTGCTCGGCCGCGGTCGCCGCGCCCCGCGGCGCCGCCGGGGGGCGCCACCGAAGGCAGACCCGCTCCGCCGGCCCCCGCCGGCTGGCTGCAAACGGCGGCCCTCCCGGTGGGGGGCGCCGGCCTCCGCCTTGGCGGGCGGCGGTGGCGCGGGCGGCGCCGGCTGGGTCGCCACCTCCTCCCGGAAGTTGCTGATGGCCTTCCGGAGGGGGGCGGCGGGATCCCCACCTGGCCCGGGAGCTGGGCGTCTCCTTTACGTCGCCCGTTGCCGCGCAACTTCGGGCCCCAGCGCCATCGCGGGTCGGCCCGGCTCGAGAAAAATGCCGCAGGAAGGCGGGAGGTAAGGCTCTGGTCGTGGTGTTTCGCAGTGTTGCAGTGTTTCGCGGCGTCGGATCTCAAGGCGTCCACTGCCCCAGGCCTGGCCCCTCCTGGAGGTCGTTTTGCCTGTTGTGGGTTGTCCCGTGGGGGGGGGAGGGGAGGTGCCGGCCGAGAACCTAGCCCCTAACCCCGCGCGCACCAGCACTGCGTACCCCATTCGGACCTGCGCAACCGAGAAGGTCAGGTTATCAGGGGGGGGCGGGTGGGACCGATAACCCGGGTGTATCGCCAGACCCTAAGAAAACCGAAAAACAGTCTCCTGGGCCCAGGAGCGGTGAATGCACTATCCTGGCTTGGCCAGGGAGGCATGTGCACCGCCCCTGGGCCCAGGATGGGCCATGCCTTGGGCAGTGGACATGCGCGCGGGCCTGAATTCGTTGCCCTTCGGCGGGGGACGCAGGGAGCAGAGGCCTCCCAGAGACTTGAGAAAAGCATGACGTTGATTTTTCTCCGTGCTCGGCCTCGTCGTCCTCGTCGTCCTCGTCGTCCTCGTCCTCGTCCTCGTCCTCGTCCTCGTCCTCGTCCTCGTCCTCGTCCTCGTCCTCGTCCTCGTCCTCGTCCTCGTCCTCGTCGTCCTCGTCCTCGTCCTCGTCGTCGTCGGGGCCCCAGGGCCGTGAGAAGAGACCCCGAGAGAGAAGGACGGAGGACCAGCCCCGCGCGAGCGGTCGAGGAGGTCCTGGGAGGGCGAGGGGGAGGGACGGAGGAGGGGGGGGAGAGGGGGAGGGGGAGGAAAAGGGGGAGGGGGAGGGAGAGGGAGAGGGGGACTATGTTTCGGACTATGTTATTCCGGACGGCCCCCGGGGGGTCCCCGAGGGGCCGGGCGACTCCCCGGCGCGGGACAACATCCGCCCCAGGGGGTACCTTTCACGGGAGAGCGCGGCGCCCCCGTCCGCCAAGGGGTGTGGGATGGGCGCGTCCGGTCCCCCCACAACGCCTCAGCTGCGGGTCCGTGTGGCCGCGAGGGGGGCGGCCCCCTCCCACAGCACCATCTCCCACCCCGCGGGCTCCCCATGCGAAGGAAAGCGCGGAAGGGAGGGGCGGGGGGGAGGAGGCGACCATCCTCTGCCGCACCGT